AAAATAAAAAAATAAGAAAATTAATATATCTGTAAGACTTTTATGCAAAATAATTATAAATATCAGAGTTAGAACTAGTTAAAAAAAAATAAACTTAATTAGAATATTAGAACCAAAAACAGAACACATACTTTACAACTGATCAAATTTTTGGAAAGAAATAAATAGAACAAAAGAAGTATACTGCATTTAAAAAAAACTAAGTACAAAAAGAGTTACAATAATTAAGTATATAATAAATAGTTTACTAACATTAGTATAATTAATCAGAAGAAGATTAGAAATATATATGACAACAAAATGTCAAGTTTATCAAAATAGTGAAGAAGAACCCAAGCATATATAGCAAGCTATAGCAAACAGAAAAAATTATAAAAACAATACAAAAAGAATCAATAATAACAACTTAGAACAGACTTAAAAAAAAAAACAGAATATTATTATAAGTATATACAAAACATTATTTAAAAAAACAAAAGAAGAAATTACAAACAAAAAGATACTAATAAAAGAACTAATTATAATAGAAATAAAAAAAGACTTAACTAATTGTTAAATAAACAAGTAGCAAGAAAATGCATAAACATAAGTAACAAAAACAATATATAATATTTTCTATAATCAAATTTGAAGAGTTCAATATAAAAAAACACAAAAGTAAAAAAAAAACTATTATAACAAGTAATATAAAGAAAAGTACTTAGAAGAAAAAAATAGCAAAAGAAAAAATAAAAAATAAAATAATAAAAAAAATATATATATATAAAAAATATAAAAAACAAACTAAATAAAAAAAATTTAAAAAACAATTTATATGCTTGTTACAAAAAGAAAAAGATCCTTTTAGTATAGCTTTAAGTAGTTAAATGAGTAGTTTATCTCTAATTGAAATAGTACAGCAGATTACATCTAAATACTATTAGAATAACTAAGTAATGCTAGACATAGATATTAAAAAATTTTATATAATTATATATGTATTTAGTTTCAAGAATTTTAATAATGTACTAGTGTAACTGTTTAAAGTCAAATAAAATAGACAATCTATTTTTTAAGTAGAAAATTAGTAACAATAAATCTTTTAATTAAATTTTTATAACTTTATTTTTAATATTTATTACATTTAAATTAACCTAAATTGATACTTGTTTTTTAACATATTCTTGAACTTCAAAATTAATTTATTTTATTTATATTTTTTACTATTATAATAACAATTTATTGTTAATTTTATTTTTTATTAATTTTTTTTTATATTAAAGTTTCTATTTTTGGATTGTGACTGTTTTATTAAGTTTATAGAACATAAGTGCCATTAAGAATTTCTTTATATTAAAGATTACAACTAGCTACATATGTACTTTTGGTACCTAATTTAAGTAGTCTGCTTATATATTGTTATATTAGATATTATACTTGCAAGCCAGCTAGAGGTCTTGCTTATTTAAAACTTTTGCATATGCAATTCATTTTATATCATGAGAACATCTTAAGGCTATATCTATTCAAGTTCTTGATACTTATTAGTATTTTAGTACTATTGTATTTTTGACAAAAAACTTTATATTTTATATATACTGATCTAGTTTTATATAACATGTTATAGTTATCTAACACTTGCAATTATAGAGATACTTGTTTAACTGCTAAATTATACTATTTCTATTCTTGTAAAGTTTTTCTAAATTCTGGTACCTATCTTTTTAACTTCTTCTTTCTATTATCCAACTTAAAATTTGACAAACTTCTCAAATTTTTAATTCAGATGGCCCAGTATAGTATATCTTAGTATCCTTTTCTTTTGGCAATTCTAGTGATCTAGTTGGAAATATGCTTTTCTATACATCTTGTTATTCAGTTGTATATCTACCTATTTCTTATTAAGGTTTTCTAATTTTTATCAGTTTAATAATATTGTTGAAAGTTTGTGTTACCTCTATACTCAAGAATTTTTAAGTGGGATTCTGTTTTCTTAGTTTCTTGATCTTTTACATTTGATAGTCTTATCATAAATTTGCACTAAAGCTTTATACAATACTAGTTATCAACATTCCTCTATGTATATATAATATTATACTTTATATAAATACTTAAAGTTTTTAATGACAAATAGAACCTGATTGATTATACTCAATATTACAGATACCTAAATTCAACTAATTGATAAATGACAGTTTTTTGTAAGACAGATTAATTTTCAAATTTTGTCATAAGTAGAATTTGAATTTTAAACCTACTACTTGAAGAATAACAATCCAACTATTATACTAGGATTGTTATTCTCTGATATTGGTTTTTATTTTTATTTTTTTTTTATATTAAAGTGAATAATTGTGATTCAGAAGTTTATTGATAATCAGTCAGCATATAACTATTGTGTATAATAGTTATAGAAACAATTATAGAAAGATTATACAACTAGCCACTTATATAACTTTAGTTATTATCTATTTTAAGTAATTTGCTTAAAGGTTCTATACTAGTTGTTATACCTAAAACCCATCTGTAGATTCTCTATTTAAACATTTTAGTTCTTATATCTACCCTTACTCTATTAACTGCAGTATTAATCTATAAATATATTATGATCACTAAGTTATGTTTAACTTTATATTAGCCTACCAGAGTCTTTTGTATCTTATATTTACAACTAACCTAATACCACTTTGGCCTAGATCACTTGCAGTCAGGACTAATCATTAAACTGCTATATCCTTGTAAAGTTTACTAGAACCCTGATATCTTTCTTTTCTAACTTCTATTTCCTACTTTTGAATCTACAAAATCTATAAGACTTTACAAACTACCAATTCAAATGGCCTGATATGATATCCTAAGATCCTTTTTCTTTAGTAGTTCTTGGCAATCTGGTTGGTATATGTTCTTCTACACATGTTGTCATCTGATCCATTCTAGTAATTCTAGTAATTCTTTTTTAAGACCTTTCAATAGTTCAGTAGTATTGTTAAAAGACTATATTATCTCTTTACTCAGAATTTCTAAATAGGTTTCTGTACTTCAGTTTTTTAGTATTATGTGCCCAATGGTTTTATTATAGGTTTGCACTGAAGTTTTATACAACATCAGTTATTAATATTCCTTTATATATGCATAATGTTACACTTTAAATAGATGCTCTGAGTTTCTATTCAAGATAGTATTTCTAAGATTACAGATCATCTCTTTCATCCAACCAATTGATAAAACACAGTTATCATAACACAGGTATAATTTCCAAATTTCATCATTCATAAGATTTAAACACTAGACCTGCCACTTGGAAGTTGACAACCTGTTCACTTCACTAAGTCACCACACCTCTATTTTGTTTTTTATTCTACAAGTTCATTACAATATTTACATATTAAAATACATTTATCAATATAAAAAGTATTTGAATGTTCTTTAAGTAAATACTGAAATACTTTTTTGTTTAAACATTATTATAATTAATCTTTACATTATTAAAATATTTTTATTAAACTTATTTTTTTTATATTTTTACAAATATTCTAACCAATTCTATTTTATACTTGCCTCTTCAAAATCAGAAAAAAAAAACCAATATATATACTGTATATAATTTTATAGAAATAAGGCTTGAGCATTAACAATAGGTTGTATTTGCATTTTTTTTTTTTAATTTTTCATATTAATTGTTTTCTACCTTCTTTATTACATAAATTTTAAAAGAAATATTATACATATAAAGAATTTTCACACTTTTTTACACAACCCTTCACTTATTTTGGCGATATGATTTTCTTTTGTTAGAACAACTATGAATTATATTATTTTGTATTAATATTTAAATTTAATATAAGATTATGCGGTTTTAAAGTGTTATACGTATCAATATTATCAAATGTTACTTATTTTAGTAATGATGTTGTAACACTACATATAAAAACGTCAAAATTCTTAATTATGTGAGGTTTTATGATGGTCAAAATTCTTAATTATGTGAGGTTTTATGATGATAAAAAAGGAATTATATAATTATGTGACTTCTATGATATTATGTGAAACATGGAATTTCACTGTCTCACATTCAATTGGAATGCGTAAATTTGATTGTTCCAGATTTCAAGTGTACAAGGGAAAAAAAGCAAAATAATCAGATACTAGTGTTTAACTCGGTCTTTGGGTACTAATAAAAAATGTCAGGAACGTAATTTTATATTTAAAAACATAAAGCCAAAAAAGCTTATTGGAATGTGCCACAGAACATGATGTTTTTACTATAAAACATTAACGAATAATTAACAAAGTTGTGTGTGAAGCAGACACATGTGAAGCTTAAAGGCAAAAAGATCACGTTCTCCATTTCTGATATTAAAAATTACTAATAAACTTTTTTAATCAAATAAAAATATCAAAACCGTAACTTTCTATGCATCAAAAAGGTAACTTTTGCACCACTTTGCTGATAATTTAATGTCCTTCGCTACGCTCCTAGACAATTAATTTAGAATGTTGACCAAAAACAAATTTATATTAAAAGTAAACTTTACAAAGAATTTGCAAAATATTACGTACGTATGTACGTATTGACTGTTAAAATATCAATTTTTATAGTTATAAATTTGAACTTTATTGATTTTTATTAATTGAGAACGTAAAAAAAGTTCACAAGAAAAATTAAGAACTAAATCATAAAATTAAGAACTAAATTCAAAAAAAAAAAAATTCAAAAAAATTTCGCCAATCAACCAAAATGAAAGAAAGAAGAAACAAGTAAAAAATAAATACTATGAAACTTTTTTTTTTAAAAAAAAAATAATTACATTTAAAAGAAAACAATTAATAAATAAAAAATCGATAAATACACAAAATAATGTTTTTTTTTTAAAAAAAAATAATACATATAATACGTATTATAAAAAAAAAAGAAGTAGGTTTAAAATATTATAATATAAAAAGTAGCTTTAAAATATTATACGTAATATAAAAAGTAGGTTTAAAATATTATAATTTAAAAAAGTAAGTTTAAAAATATATTAACTTTGATTATATCGAGGAGGAGGAGGAACTAAAGCAGCATACATATAAGCAGGAGGTTCTTCTAACATAGAATAAGGAGGGGAACTTCCATAATCTTGAATATTTAATAAATTATTACCCATATCACTTCTCAAACTCATACTTCTAGCACTAATTCTAGTTGAATAATAATTATAACTTGATTTTGTAGTTATGATTAATGGAATTTCCAAGGATAATTCTTTTTTATGAGAAATTATTTCTTTTTGAATAGTATGATTATTGAAACCAATATGTTGTGATGATTCAATATAATGATCATTGGAATTATTTAAAATTGGATTACTAAAAGATGATTCAGAAGAAGTTTGTGATTGACGAACGTTTACATCAAGATAGGAGGTAGAAGTAGTTCGAGAATTTTGTATAAAGTTTAAATCGGAATGAGGTAATTGTATAAAATTTGTATCAGTGAGAGTTAAACTATTAAAATGAAAACTAAAATCATTATTTGATGGAGCAGAACGAGAAAGAGGTGGTATAGGAGGAGCTGGTAAAGATTGTGTCCTAGATTCATTATTAATTGAATAAGAATTTCCAATCTCAGAATCAGTGTGAGAGGAAAAATTAGAAAGACGAGAAGTTGAAGAAAATCTAAATCTATTAATATAATCATCAATATAATCCAAATCATCAAAATCCGAAAGGGAATTATCATCATCAGAATTAGAATTATGATGATAAGAATTAGAATAATCAATTAAACTATTATTATCATCATCAAATGAAATGTATTCAGAAATTTCAATTTCAATATGGAAAGAAATTTGATGAGAAATATTAATTAATAAACTATTAATATCACAATTTACTCTTGGACATAATCTAAAATTAATTTCCACATTCCCAGGATCAATTTGATTAGAATTATTGTTTAAAGTAATTAATTTTTTTCCAAGAGGAAATTTATCCTCTTTTATTGTTGAATTAATATCATGTACATCATCATATGCTCCAGATTTATGATAATGTACAAGTTCTTTTAAACCGTATTCGACAGATTTCAAAATTATATCAGAATTTAATGGTTTCAATACTAATTGTATGGAAACCAACCCACCTTCCCTAAAAGCCATTATTGGAGCATTAATAGAATATTGAACTTTTTCATCTAATATACCTTCGGTGAAAGTAGTTAAATGATCTTGTATAGTAGTTGGAGAAGCTAATATATCTTTAGGTAATAAAGAACGTTGAATGATGACAGGTTTTTTTAATGAAATATCAGCATGAAACATTGGACGTGCTACGGTTACGTAACACCAATATTCTATTTTTCCACGTGTTCCTTTAAAGGAAGCAGGTAAATGACCAGGGAGATCGACTTCAAATTGAAATTCATGGACACCAGGAAGAATTTGAGATGGTGAAGGAAATAAACATTCTCTTCGACATAATGTATGTGATTCGTTATCTAATAATATATGATTTATGACATATAGAATTAATATTATTAAATTAACAACATTATTTACATTATAACATTATTACGTAACATTATTATCATAATTAACATTGTTTACTATACGTATAATAATATTATTAACACATTAATAATGATAATGATACGTATTAAGTTATTGAACATCAGGTATAACATACATTCAGGTCTTGAAGAAGAAATAAAAGGACCACAGTTAACATTTGTTTTTCCGATAAAAGTAAAATTAAAACTTTTAACTTTTAATCTTTTACTATTAGTCAACAATACTTTTCCTTTTAATTTACAACCATCGGATTCTTCAGGTAATCCATGCATTATACAAATATTATCATCAAAAATAATTTCGATTGTGTTTTTCTTTGGTAACATCATTTTTAAAAAATTTAAAACGAATGTATATAGATTTTAGAGGGAAGGGAAGGGAAGGGATTTTTTTTCCTCGAAGGAATAATGAAAAATGTTGTACAGGATACGGCGTAAGATTTTTTTTTTTAAAAAAAAAAGGAAAAACAAAATTAAAATAAAAAATTATTAATTAATTTAATTAAATTAATTATTTGTTTGATACTTTTACAAAAATGGGAATGTCGATTTCAATATATATATAAAGTCATGATAAACTGTAGATTGTCATTTTATTATGGTTATTTTTTTGGTTGAATTGCACGTGTATTATCGTTATTTATTAAATTTTAATGTTAACAAACCCTGTCGCTATCGACAACAGTAATGACACAATTTATTTTTTCTTTTTTAGAACATGTAAATTAAAGTAGAATTTTATTTTTTAATACTGTAAACTACATGTGAAAAAAAAAACTTAATTTTAGATCATCCAATTACGGAATTAGTAATATAATTACAAGTTTTTTTTTAAAAAAAAGTTTTTTTTAGCTTTAGTTTTTAAAGAATGTACAATGTGCATCTTCTCGTAAAAGTAATCTCGTAGAAGGAATCTCGGAGATGGAATCTCGTAGAAAGAAGCACACAAAACAGCAAAAACATAATGTAGTCATAATGTATTTGCCGTATTTTTAGTTGGAAAAAATATATATTTATATTTAATAGGGGTTCGGTTCATACGTATACGTGGTTCGTGTTGGAAGAGGATTCGAATAGTATGTAGAATTTTGTGTATATGTAAACGGTTGTATTCGACTATTGTTTCAGAGTTTGCCTTCAGTCTTTGATTTCGTGGTCTTTTGATCTTTTGGTCTTTCGATATTTACGATCTGTTCGTTTTATGTCTTTGTTTTGAATTTGACTTTTTTTTTTCGTTGCTACTTTGATATTCTTTTTTAGCAATAATTGCGACTGAAATTACCGAGTTTTGTTTTACATAATCAGAAGTGAATAAAAAAAATATAATAATATAATAATAACTATGGATAGATAAATATAAAAGAAATAATATATACTAATAATAAAAAGGTTTATATACATCGTATATGGTTTATACCCTAATATTCTAAATATTCAATGAAAAAATAACCAGCTTTCCCCAAAAAATAATTATAATTATGAAAAGAATATATATATATATATATTTCCATATACTAAGTTTTTTAAAAACAAAGTTAAAGGGAAGATTATAGAAAATCATAAGATCTAATCCCACCAGGGGGCGAACTTTCATCAACTTCTTGAATATCAACAATATCTTTAATATCTTTAGTATCTTTAGTATCTTTAACTTTTCTGAAAGTTTCAACTCTTTGTAATAATCCTCTTATTGAAGAACGACTATTTGGACCACTTCCAAATCTGTGCCAACTTACGGTATCATTTCTATTGTTCTTATTTTTTTTCATACTTTTTCTAAAAGTTTTTAAAGTTTGTTCAGTATCTTTAGTGGTACTAGTTTGCCTGGCTATCATACCACCATGCCTTATAACATCATCATTATGTTTAACAATGATTTTATCTAATTCGTTCATGATATGACTATGATCACTTTGAGAAGAAGAAGAAGAAGCGGATATGTCTCTTTGTACAATTTCACGTTGTTGTTTCATTAATATATCATCTTTTCGTTGATTTTTTAAAATATCGACTTTACTTGCAATACTAGGGACAATAGTAGGAGAAGAAGAATAATCACTTTGAGAATCATGTACAATAGTACGTGATTTAGGATCAATTTTAATAGTGACTAATTCTTCAACCTTTATTTTTGAGTGATGAAAGGGTAAACTTATCGTAGGAGCGGTAGAAGGAGAATTCAAATCCATCGTAGAAGGACTAGGAACTATAACGGCAGACAGTTCATCATCATTAATGTTGGAATTTGGATCATTACGCCATCCTTCGTTTATTATATATTGAATCATGTTGCCTATACCACCCAAGTTTACAGTTGCATCGGTTACTAAATATACCCACATTTCATCATACTTTTATAATCGAATTAAATTGAATTTTAATTAATTAAAGAAGCGAAACACGAATAAACTTATAAATAGATTAAATAAATGAATGAATAAACTTACGCCGATTATTTGACCAAAGACATAAATCATGGAAGGAGTCCATTGAAAAATAAAAATAAGAACATAACCAATAATTTTTCTGACCACAATAGGTTCAATCTTTTTATTGTTCGAAGTAACAGTATCAAATCTTGTTGCTTTTCGTTCTTTTTTTAATTGAATTGAATTTATTTCTCTTAAAGTCATAGCGTAACAGAATATAGTAATTGCCAATATCGTAAAATTTAAGGCCAAAGTTACTATTGGCATTATCATGCTACCTTTATTGGTGAAACACCTATTGTAAATTTAATAAGTGAAATTATTTTAAATTGTTATTAAATTAGATTGATATCATTATACTGACTAATATTGATGATTTAAATTATATTAAATAATAACATACCAATATTTACTAGAACCAAAACTTGGAATTCCGACCATAGAAAGGACAAAAGATAATGAAATGAGAAAGGCAAATAATTTATAATCGTATTTTCCCAAGTCGATATACCATTTTCTACATATTCTTAAAAATGTTAACATGGCCAATGATCCTACTAGAATCATGTTACATGCTACTAAGAAGAATGTTGCGCCTCCAATTAATCGGCAATCATCTTCAGGCCAAGGTCTGCCTTGAAATAAAGGGAAACCCTATTTATATTAGAGAAGATGTATTAGTAAAAGTTATGAAAATATAATAAGAAAATGTATATAAATATATTTAAATATAGTTAAATATATTAAAAAATATTAAAGAAAATGTTAAAGAATAATTACCAGGTTTAAAACATGTATACAGAATAAAGAGAAATCTAATAGGTACATGATGGAAGATTAGATTTAGATATTTTAAAAGAAATATATAAAGATCAAAAGAATACACACCGTAGTAATAACGTTACCTGACAAAGCAATATAAAAAGGCACTCTCAACGCCATTGGTAAAGATCTTTGAGTTGTTTTCCATCGAGATACAGTTCGAAAGATCACATATAATGTACAAAGACCACTTAAAAACAGTAGACCCATACCAAGGGGTATGACTATATCAGATCCGGGAACTCTTTCATCTCCCAACGATGGAGGACTTGATATTGGTACAGTCTGCGTCGGTAGGAAAGCTCTAGTTATGTCAAGAGGTTTCATTAAAAGAAATAATAAATTTGATTTATCATGCGATGAGTATATATAATAAAAATCGTAATAATAATGATAATGATATAGTATATGGATAAAAGTGAGAGAGGATTATTTTCAAAAAAATAATGGCGAATCCGGCGCCAAGGATTTAAAAGGAGAAAATGGAATTTTATACAGAAAAAAAAACACACGAAACCGAATATTGATTAGCTGTGATAAATACAACGTCGACTCTAGAATTTATTTCAGTAGCCAACGAAGATCTTTTCACAGGAATCAAGTATGAACCCTGAAACAAAATAATCGAAAATAGAATCAATATATAAGTATGAAAAAAAACACAATATAAAATATAATATCATTCATGATTACCTACGATGTATAATAAACATCATTGAATATACAGATATATACATAGTAACTATATATGAAACAAGCGGCGAGAATAGAGTAACAAAGTGTAAAAGAACAAGATTAGCCAACTTACATTACTAAAAATAGACATGTAAGAAAAAAAAAAAATAAATAAAAAACTTAATTTCTAAATGAATAAATTCTTGAAAAATCATTGGTTGGTTGGTTACTTAATAGAGCCGAACACAAAGGAGTATCTACCTGTTTGGTATTTCAAAGTATAAAACCGAGATCAAGATATTTACGTTTAAGACTTTTTTTTTTTAATTTACGTAACTTGGATTACATACAATTCAACCATATTATGCTCTATGCAGATGTGATGACATCTAACACATATAATTGCATATAATTGTGCATATAATTGTGCATATAACTTGTATACAATTTGCATATAATTCGGGCGTAGACGATTGTAACTATCGCTATCGGCTATACTTATTCATGTACATAACAGTAACAATGGGGATTTATTAAATTAAATAAATAAACAAACAAATAGACCAGTAAAAAAAGATTAGTCTTTTTCCTGTTAAAAAGAGATTTATTGGTTGATTCGGCCTTATTCATATGAGAATGTCATTATGCACAATCTATATAATCCATGTACGTACGTACGTATCAGGTATATTGATTTTGATTTCCTCATTCGCTATACGAGTAAAGCGAATAAAGGAAGGCTTTAATTTTATCGTTATATATCTTGAAAATACTGAAAATTAGAAATTACTTTGTTGTTTGTGCCAAATTTATAAAATATATAAAATATTTAATAATCTACTCAACATCATCATTTCATTATTAACTAAACGTGTTTAATAAATTAATAAATTTCTTTTAAAAAGTTAACAAGAAACGTTTTCAATATATCTAGTGAATATAATGTATATGCTATAATGTAGATCTATTATGTACGTGCATACATACACAAGTATTTGCTCAACCGATAACAATAAATAGTTATCATAGGTTACGTACTTTGTGAACAATCGAAAAACTATAAAATGCTAGGTTCCCATTTCAGTAAATATGAAACAAATCAAAAAAAAATTAATTGGTTTCATTTTTTTTATAATTTACACGTGATCAATTAATCTTCTTTTATCACTATATATGTCAAACGTTTTCATAAATATATCTGGGTTAATAAAAAAAACAATTAAATATTGATATGTTATACAGTTCGGAATACGTACCATCTTGAAAAATCTGTAATCTTTAAACCATGTTCATCGGAGTTAAGCTATTCTTTGATACACAATACTTTGACTACTAAAAAAAGATAACTAATGCGAAATGCGCCGTTATACGTACGTACTATTTTTCCTTGATTAAAAACCTTATTATTAATTTTTACTTTATATTAGCTTGTAGTTATGAGACTAACCTGGAAAAAAAAAGAATTGTTCAATTATTATGTATCTTAGCATGCTTAAAAAAAAAACTTTATTTTCAACGGTTATGATGTACTAGCATTCTCATTACTATCTTGAATAAAATTTTGAATGAAATTATGCAAAAAACTGCCCCAGTCTTAAAAAACCATTTTACATCAAGGCTGAAACTCGGAGTGAATTTGTGATATATAATAATAATTGGTAATGATTCTATTCACGAAACATGTTTTTTTTTTAAAAAAAAAATTTGAGATAGTAAACTTTATTAGTTACTTATGTTCGTACATATCTTTTTTTTTCTGTGTAATTTTGAGATAAAAAAGCTCACGATAGAGACCTACATACCCACGTAGTTAGATGAAGGCTACGTTCTATTTTTACATTTCCTACTCTTTTTGGTTCTAAAACGAGGAATGACCCCTTATTCTACCTGTGCGGCGTGTGTACGAACGTACGTATGTACGTACTTCTAATTACGCACTTCTTTGTACGTAATTCTAATTACGCACTTCTTTGTACGTAATTCTAATTACGCACTTCTTTGTATGTACGCAAAATCCTGTACCACAGAACATTCTTTTCTACATTTTAGTAGTACAAACGTTTCAAATTTTTAGCCAATTGAATTATAAATTATGGATTGTCACTAATAACCGAAGGCTTAGTGTAGTCACATGATTTCTAAATTTCTAAAAAAAAAGCAATAGGTTCAAAAACCTAATTTCAACATAATCATACATACGACATAGTGTCGCTCAGAAAAAAATAGTAGCCGGATTTACATGTAACTTCGAAAACTGATTGCCAGTTCATATGATTGGCTGATGCAAATCAATCACCTGGGTAACTTATTTATACACTTTAGAGTACTTTTTGAGAACGGTTGTTCACTTTCCCGAACTCCATTTTTCTGAAATACTATTTTACCGAAGTCGACTTATTTATACACTTTAGAGTACTTTTTGAAAACGGCCGTTGTTCACTTTCCCAAAGTCCATTTTTCTGAAATCTCATTTTACTAACAGTACAGAAATAGGTCAGTGTTATTTCACCGAATATCAATTAACCGATTTATTTCACCGACAAAGTAATTCTGGTCATTGTCGTTAAAGTCAGGTTTAGAATTATTGTTAAGGTTAGTGTAAGTTTTAAAAAACCTGTCGGTAAAATGAGCTGTCAGTGAAATAATTGTCAATAAATAAACTTTTCGGTTAATTGATTTTCGGTGAACTATTCCTGTCCTGCCGAAATCCATTTTCCTGATCTATTGTATTAGCGGTTTGCAGAAAGGTGATTTTCGTGATGATGGCGTCAGAAAATTTCAGTGATTCTAAATTGCCTATCGATCATAATTTTTTAATCGAAATCTTTAAAATTGTTGGTAGATCATAAAATCTGTGATTTCACATGATACCATGATCTGTCATAGAAAATCGTGCATATCAAATATGTTAGTGTCCACATAAGTGGACAATAACCTGTGGATCGGTGATCAGATAATGACGGAGTGGTCGCACTGCTGCGAAGCAGCAAGTGTTCATAGGAAGACATTCGTATGATTGCCTATTTACTTTTTACATTATTTATACAGTTTAAAGTACTTTTTTAAAAAAAATAAAAACTACGAAGAATATAGAAAGTTTTATCAGGGATGGGGTCCCGTAGCCTAGTGGTCTAGGCACCCCTCCCTCCACAGACAAGGTCAACGGTTCAATTCCAGCTGGAGGCAACTCTGTAATCTATGGAAGCATATGAATGTACGCGAAGCCCTGTGGCTAAGTCCATGTGATTAGAAGATCGGTATATAAGGAAGTTCTCAAAAAAAAATTCCTAATATGGAGAGTTGGTGCTCGATGCGAGAGAAGCGGTGAACATACCAGAAATGGAGAGAAGGCGCACTAGCGGGTAATACGGTGAACATAAAAGGAAACTATGGAAAAGGAATAGACTTACTGAAATTCAAACACTTCTGGCACCAAACCGGTTCTAGTAGATATGGGATATACTAAAATTGGATAAATCTAAGGAGTAATCTTGGTACCATACTTAGTAAGTTTGC